CAACAGTTCTGTTTCATGGTATAAATGACTAATTCTATTTCACGGCAACAGTATATTTTACCGTATATAACTTTATAACGTATATAACTTTAAATAAAGTGTTGCTAAATTACTTTACAATTTTATCTTATTGTTTAATTCATCAATCAGTTTATAATATCTAAATATTTTATATCAAACTATTCTATTCATAATTAATTACAGTAATTTCCTTTTAATTTTGTAGTATATTACTAAAACTATTTATATTGGTTAAATGTTTTGCCATGTGTAATGCGTTTTTAAGGGGTTTTGCTCTTTTTGTGATAACTGGCAACTCTTCCCCTGGAGCTTTAGTCAAGAGAGGGAAGAGTTCAGAAGGAAGTATGCAAACTGAATAGCAGCTACTGTTAGTGTTGACTAGTAATGTTCATTTGTAAATTATACACACCTTGTAACCACGTCATTATTTTGATGAGTTGAGAGACTTATCGAATCTTAGGAAGATTTTATCACGTCTTCCTCCTCTTCGTCTTTAGGCTCTTCTCCAATCTGAGGAGCCTGTATAGGAGATATGTATTTCTGTTACATGTGATACTTATCACTTTTCACAACAAAACTCCTCTAAACAGGGAAATTTTCTAGACAACTTTAGACTGACATGATCCACAAAAGCTCTTTCAATCAATGAACCAGGTGAGGAGCATTCATATCACTCTTTTTAATACCAGTAATTCATATCTTTACTAAAATATATAGATATGAAATGGTGGCCATAAAATATTTAAGAGGTTTAAGTTGTTTTCCGAGAGGACAATGACCCTAAACATTCTTCTAACTATTTCCAGAACTACTTGCAACGGATGGAAACTGCTGGAACATTGGAAATAATGGATTGGCCCCATCAAAGTCTGGACCTCAACCCCATCGAACAAATTTGGGGCGAGTTGGAAAATAAACTGGACCGATCTATTGATACATTCAAAGGAAAGCCTTTGGCTTCAGTTGCAGAAGGCATGGTAACATTAGTGTTGAAGTTCTGAGAAAATATATAGACACTATGTCAGAGGTTGCCAACTTCAGAAAAGAAAAATGCGGGACAATTGTTATTCTTTACAGGAAAATAAGGGACACTCAGAATATTTGTATAAAGAACATGGTTGCATCCTACTTCAATGACCTGCAGATGTGCTTTGCCCTCCGATTTTAGTAGTTCTCACCATGGAAGGAAGTAGGAATCGCCATGGGTTGTGCCATCTCTTCCATCTTGTTCATGTCAGCTTTTGAGGTAATCCTCATCGGAGCAAGACAAATGGTTGGGGGGATCAAACTACCATCTGGGTAGAGACTACCCCCATGGACGACGTCACCAGCCTCCTTCAGACAGCAGCATGCACATCAATCAGCAGCATTGCAGAATCTGATGGACGAGTTGATGTCATGGGCGTGAATGAGGATCAAGCCATCAAAATCACGGAGCCTGTCTCTCAGAAGAGGAGTCAAAAATGACAGCACCTGTTTCGTCGTAGGGAGAGAGAAAATCCCACTCCTCTCTGAGCAAACCATTAAAAGCCTGGGGAGGCAGTACACGGTAGAGCTTACGGACAAACAGATGGGGAGAACCGTGATGAAACAGGTCTCAGAAGGACTGGCAAAGATCGATCAAAGCCAACTCCCAGGAAAGTACATGGTCTGGTGCTACCAATTTACACTCTACAGGAGGGTGATGTGGCTACTGAAAATGAGTGAGATCCCCTCATCCACCGCAAGCAAGATGGATGGAAAAGCCAACACATTCATCCGAAAGTAGTTGGGGGTGCCCCGATGCTTGTCGAGTTGAGAGAGTCCACTGACCAGGCTGTTAGGAATGCAAACCCTAAGGTTTGGACAGGCCTAAAGTGGAACGCCCAAACTGAGGTTGACCAAGCCGTCAGTCGTCTGCAACATCAAGAGATTGTCGGCAGAGTCCAGATGGGAAGAGCAGGGCTAGGGTTGGGAGAAGCGACACGGTTCTGGTCCAAGGACAACCACAAAGAAAGGAAGGAGATGGTGGTGGCGGAGGTGACAAGAATGGAGAAAGGGCGCTACAAGATCAAGGTGGTGTCGCAGGCCCGGTGGGCAGACCTGTGGAAAATTCTGCAGGCAAGGCTCAGCTTCCTCATCCGTGCACACTTCCCTGTCCTCGGAACCTTCACCAGTGGTTTGGGAGGGAGGAAGGCTGTACACTCTGCAATACCACTAACGCAAGCCTCCAGCACATCTTGTTAGGCTGTAAGATTGTGCTTTCCTAAGGACGCTATAGATGGCATCACGACCAGGTCCTGAGAAAGCTAGCCGAGGTGATAGAGAGGCTTTCACAGGGCAGCAAAGGGGTACCACCAGCAGAGAACCACAACCACATCACATTTGTCACGGAAGATGAGGGAAGAAGAAACCTCAGGCCAAGAGAAACAGCTAGGCCGTTTTCCCCTGACCAGGAGTGGTGTATGAGAGTTGATCTCCACAGGCTGCTTTGTTTCCCGGTCGAAATTACTGCTACATCTCTCTGCCCCGACATAGTGATGTGGTCTACCAAGGTAAAATCCTTGCTCCTCATTGAGCTCACAAAACCAGCGGAGGAGAGGACGGAGGCTGCCTATGAACGTAAGAAGGCCAAGTACTCAGAGCTGACTGCTGAGTGCCGAGAGGCTTCTGAGGGACATAGGAGTGACCGGAGGGAACCTAAAGAAGGCAACCAAAGAGCTAGCAGAGGAGGCAGAGAAGGGGAGCTTTTGGCTTTGGCTGAGGAGGAAAGACGAGAGCTGGAGGGAAAACAACTAACCCCGCAGACTGCCGCAGAGTGTAATATCTAGCAGCTGCAGGGGGTGACAGGGAGACGTCCCTGTCACTGCTCTGCCACTAGGAGATGCTCTAGGATTAAAGGAGTGAAACGTTGGTGAATGGTGGTTCTTGGCTGATGACCCTGCACCTGGGCAACGGAGGAGGTGCGACCGGCAGCAATGCCTAGCTGGTGGTCCATCTACCTGTAATTTTCACTGTACTGTAGCCTCTGTTTAAAAGGTACTCAGACATAAACAAATTTGTTTTGCTTAGCCTATTTATGTACAATTTAATTCTAAAACAATTTTTAATAGTTCAAAATAATAGCATTGATCTTAAATAGAAAGCTTTGTAACATTATACACTACATTTTAAAGAAATTAAAGAAATAAGTAATAACCTACTTTTATTCAGCAAGACGCATTAAAATAATCTAAATTGACAGACATTTATAATGTTACAAAAGCTTTATTTCGGATAAATTTACTTTGAACCTATAAAAAACAAACAAAAAAAACAACAAAAAAACCCCATAATAATCAGCAATATTTCTTGGCAAATCACGTCAGCATTATTCCCCCAGGAAGATTTCATGTTTTCTTGCGTAGCTGGATGTTGGACTCATGAACAATAATCACGTGGTTTGAATTCACTAAAACTGATTTGCCGAAATCAAAACTCAGCTGAACAGTGAAAGGGATTTGCCGTTAGCGCTAGTCTGGATCGAACCGGTAGCGACCAGAAGATTCTGTTCGCAAATCAAACAATGATTTGTCCCAAGAGAATAATTAATTCTCAATTTAGAGTTTGTTGTTCGTATGGTCTGATGCGCTTGAGTGTGGGGTGTGATAGAAAGAAGATCGGTATCGTGATCATTGTCAAGTGTCGTGTTGCTATTGGATCAGTCAGTTCAGCAATCTATTTAATTGGGACAAGTTAGGTCTCGGGCCGAACAGAACAAATAAAGTAGGCCCAAAATACGGGACGTCCCGGCTAAATCAGGGCAGTTAGCATTGCAACCCTAATGCTTGGTTCAAATTACACAATTTTTTTTGTCTGTTACGATAGTCACTGTGTCAGATTACGCGATTTTGACTCCTAAAATCTTGTCGTGTCGTGGACAAAACGCATGTCAGACTACACGTTGCTTCCTGACCAGTCAGTGCATGTCGTATTTAACGGCACGCATGATGTCATCGAGAAGGCGAAACTAGTAGCGAGTGAATTCCGGAAACGAAGGTAAACAAACAAGGGATGAAGCGGTGAGTGTTGTATTGGCTGTGTTCAGAAAAAAGTAAAAAAAGAAAGAAAACCTGACAATGGACATGTTCCTGGATTGCTCGAAAAGGACAGTATGGGTTGTCAATCCTCCAACGAGAACTTGAGGTAAAATATTGTTTTCTTGTGTATTTTTACTTTTAGTTTTAACATTAGCACCATAGTCTCTCTTTCGTTTCACCATTTAAGTTATGTACAGAATAGCTTCTGTGCTCCTATTGGTCAAACATGTGACGGAACCGTCGTGGAGGACCGTTAAAAAAATTAAACATGCTAGTCTTTTTGTCGTGAAGCATCGCAGACGCGACGTAGGTTGTCGCCCACTATGACACACTGTACGAGATGACACGATCGAATCTTGTGTCCCGACGCCCGTTGTCGTTTACGAATCCCCACGTCAAACGGCCAAAATCAGGCTAAAATTGTGTAATCTGAACCAGGCATAATGCTAAATGCGAATTGTGTGTAAAAAGTATTGTACACATAAAAGACGGATAGATGACGAACTATACGTTATTTCTATTCGTATGGATATCGACATATTAACGGTTTACTGATTTTCCCATTGCGAGCATGTGAGCTCTTCTAAACTGTCCGGGTGCTGAACTGCTCTTGACAGCTGCCGCCTTTGTTCCGACAAAAAGCACGTTATTAACATCCTTTATAAAAATAAAATCACTGCGTCACTGTTGATTCTTCTGACCTGCTCGTTCATCTTTCTCCATGGTTCTTTGAAAAATGTCAGTTTTACTCACGTTACATGTGTTTACCACGCCCACTTATTTACAATGTTGCGGTATACATAACGGATGACAACGATATACCGTGATACCGCCCAGCCCTACAAGAAGATTATCTCAGTTAATGTAGTTATTAATGGGTCATCAGGAGTTTCAAACCACTCAGTCAAGGAAAAGTCACAGTCTGTCTCCAGTACACAAGTTTATTGCAACATTTTTTTTTGATGAAACAGAGAAATGCAACAAATTAACCCTCCACTCCTGAAGATACTGGTACTAGTGGCAAATACATATCTGAAAAGTTGTACGAAATGCATTCATAAATGACTTTTCAAAGGTTTAATTAAATATGTATGAAAATTACTAAAATAACTTATTTCAAATCCACTATTTAAAAAAAAAAAAAAAAAAAATCAACTCAGTCTCAACCCAACCAAACCCGTAGGGTTAGATTTGCCAATAAAACCAATCCTCTACTATACAAAAGAAACAAACAAACATAGAAATACAACAAAACCAGTTCTGGTCCAAAAGTGCAAACAGGTTTCAAATTAAAAGTAAATTCAATCAGTCCACCACAGTAAAGTCAACTCAGCCTTAAAAAAAAAATGTCCCTTTTTCCTGCAGTAAATCCCAGAGTGTGATAAGGGGTTACCTACAAATACCATGACAGCTGACACACATTAAAAACATTTAATTTTCAGACAAAAAATTTAGTCCTAAAATATAGAGAATCCAGATCTCAGCCTTTTTTTGTTTTCATTTTTAGCCAAGCTGAAATTAGTGGCAGGTACATAATAAATCTCACCCATGCGCTTAAAGCAGCACTTTACCAGTGACTGAACCATTTTTTCTGACCAAGAGACTACAGTAAGCTTCAAACTAAATCTTAAGTCTGGTGCTCAGTCTTGGCAAATACTTCAATGTTTTTCTTTTAGACTTTGGAATGCGAAGTGGTTCGTTTGTCAAAGTCCTTGATTAGCTGGTGCTTTATATCCGCAATTCAGTGTCTTCTTTTGGTTCTGGAATCTTCGGGAAGGCGACGTGTGCACCTTCGCGCGTCTGACCGAGAGCAGATGCAATGACGTCAACGGCTAGGCTGGATGTGGCCTCCACAGCCTCAGGCGTGGCTCCTAGTGTTGGGTTCACTTCAACCACGTCCATCACAGAGAGTAAACCTGCGTAGTCCGGAAAAGGTAGTATTAGCAGCAGTTTTAGGATATATTTGATTTCAATTGTAAATTGTAGATCTGTACCTGTGTTGTGGATTTCCTCTGTTACATAGATGCCCTCCCTATAGGTCAGTCCTCCGTTAACAGGAGTTCCAGTGGCGGGAGCCAGGGATGGGTCAAAAGCATCAATGTCAAAACTCAGGTGGATCGGCCTTTGTTTCCTGATATTAAAACAAGTAAAAGTGACAAATGACATAGGTTAAATTTTCTGATTGTGAGAGATAGCGTAGACTCAGTCTCAGATTCAACAGAGATACAGTGCCACATAGCATCAAAGGTGACATACAAGGGCCAGTTCACATATCGCGTCTTTTGCGCGCTCAAGTTCATTATTTCAAATGTAGGCGCGCGGTATGCGCGCTCATAATGGAAGCGGTGCAGTCGCGGTGCGACGCGCTCGTTTTTTCCATGCGCGTCCGCACCGCGTCGAGATAAAAACATCTCAACTTTTCAGAATACCGCAAGCGCACCATACGCACACAATAGGTCATGTGACAAGAACCAACTGAAGCGCAACCGCCTTGGCGCTTTGCAAAATGGAGAATGCGGCGCGCCCAGCGTTTTCTACGCGTTTTTAGGCGCTATATGTGAATCCGGCCCAATTCAGGTTAAATAAAGCAGCTTATGATCTTGAATGACATTGGTTCACCCAGAAAACTATTCCACCCCCATTTAAAGAGTTTTATAGTACACAGGTTGTTTACAGAAGTACTACTCCTAATTAAATAAGCGTGTATGTTTTTCACAATATCACTATACCTTGCCAAGAGGTGATCCAGCGTGACCTCCATTACTCTCTGAATGCCCATTCTGTCAATGTCCCGCATAGAGAAGTACTGAATTCCCAGGGTCTTCAGGATTATACTGAGATGATTAAAATCAAATTAGTAACATATTTGATGCACAATTCAATGCATTTTTGAATTGTGTATGTTTGCTTTGTCTCCCTCTCATTTAAACGATTGAAGTCTATAGTTTTTTTTTTTTTTTTCAATATTTTTTTTTTTAGTAGCATAGGCATTAGAAGAGGCTACAGGTGGAAAATCTAGGATGTCATTTTGGGAAAGAACATAGTGTGCTTACTGCTCGCCTGGATCCACATCTCTGAGGCCGATGTAGACCAGATCTCTGGCAGACAGGAAGGGTTTTACCCAGGAAAATCCAGGAACCTCTGGCATCTGCAATTTACAAAGCAGAATATAACGGCTTTAAGCTTAAGTAAAGATTATCAGATATTTTATGGAGACAAATTACTTTTAATTGGAAAAGTCAGCTGCAAGTGTTACCTTCTTTGAAATACAGAAATTCAAGTCGTGTCAGAGATAGCATAACATCAAAATATCTTTTGTGCTAATCACCTTGTTCTGCAGGTCCTTAAGTAAGAATGCTACAGACTGGCCGTGGATGTTTCCAGAAGGTGAAGTCAGAGGAGTGTTGATATCCGCATGAGCATCCACCCAAATCAGACACAGGTCAGGGCACTGCTGGGCATGGCCTTCCACTGAACCAATCGCTAGGCTGTGGGAATTAAAGCATTACAAATGTGAGCACAAACACAGATGATTTTGGCCTTTATAGAACAAGTTCAACACAGTCTGAGATTACATCGAATTTATTTATTTATCAGACTAGTTTTGATCGGGAAATTTGGGATTCAGCTAGCTGGAAATACAAACAGCTTCCCGCGACATAAGGAAAAACCTTGACCTTTTAGAAGCGAAGTGAGAAAACGGGCTTCAGCTTAGCCAAAGTGTTACAACGTTACTTCGTGCTAGTGCCAACAAGACAAAACTGTAAAGAATTGTGGAATAGGCAACTAAATATAAACTTTCATTTTCCATTGGCAATGACCCATAACTACATACCAACACAAAGACCATCATACATGAAACAGATTTTTTTTTTTAAAGAGATAAATGAGAAAAATACACAGTAAAATGGTGTGTACCTGTGGTCTCCCCCCAGCATGATGCAGGTATGTCCCGCCCCAACTGCACCGCTTACAGCTCCCGATAGCAGCTGATTGGCACGGCCAACTGTGCGTGGGAATGGCACGCGCATAAAGTGTTCATCTTTTTCCAGATGCTTGAAGGTCAGGTCTCCAAAATCATGCACAGGGTAGTCTTCAACAAGAGAATACAAGACATAGAAATAAACTGATGTGTCACTTGACAATTACTACTAACACAGGCATTAAAACTTCCACAGTGTCTGCCAACTCTGACGAAACACTCAAACATTATTTGATTGGTAGGTCGAAGCTGGCAGGTGACAGTTATGTTCCTCAACCCCAGCAAGAATCTGCCCAAAGCTTGAAGTGTATGGAAATATAGAAATTTAGGTTTAAACTCCTATTGGAGGACAGTAGTGAAGGTCTAAACAGCTGATGGGGCCCAGCATGACATAAGCAGATCAGCCTCAATGAGAGTGTTGAATTACTCGGCAGATTTTAAAGTGACCAATGATGGACAGGTGTACCATCCAGTGGCCTCTTAACAGGAATAGATTTACCAGTTAAGGTTTAAATAAGTATACCTAAAATACCAGATGTGTTTTCTGCTTGAAAATAATGCTGCGTTCATGTGCTATGGTAATTATGGTAAATACCAAAAGCCGACGTGGAAAATGCACATGAACACCCCCTCATGTGGTATTTACCACTGGGCAACTCGTAGAATATTTTGATGGACGAGTTGCCGAGATGAGATAACCTTTGACCATTTCAAAATGGCGGAGAGCACCGCGAGAGTCGTGAATGGTAAAAAAAATATATACTATTCATGATCTAGAAAATATACAGCATATTATTTAGCTTTTGAGTTTTGATAAATCTTTTTTTTTTTTGCTGGTGCAGATGACTTAAGCAATCTAAAATAGTTTTAGCTAAATAACAGGTCTGGATCTCCATCTTTTTACCACATTACGACAACAAAAGCACTTGAACGCAACACACTGGTAAATACCAGTTCACAAGTGGAAACTATCCTATTTTCCATAGCACGTGAACGCAGCATAAGAAATCTACAAGGGAATTAGGGAGTTGATCGTTAAGTTCGTAACTGCATTTGAAAACTTCAGGTTCATTTGCAGTTCTTGCTTCATGATATTTTGTGTTTCTGTAAGCAGGGAGCATGTAGTATTTCAAACAGTTAGCTTACTTCTCATATGTAATTAGTAAAACATCTTGCCATATGGATATGACAAACACATCCAACAGATACTAACTGGAGCGAGCATCTATATTTGTTGCATTGGATAAGCGCTGATATAGTTTAGTCAAGAATGCTTGCCATATAGGGTGTTTGGTTATTTCCACAGCTCTAAACACGTGATGCCATGAGACTAAAAGTGATACAACAAAGCCCTTTTTGCATCAATAGATTATAAATATATTTATTTAATAAATAATGTTTATGATTAAGTAAAATTATGCTTAAAAATTCTAATAATACATATTTTTGGTAAATAATAACAAAAAACAAAAAAATAGGAACGGAGGTCCTATCGTTAAAGAGTATATAACTTTAAGGATATTAAGGTATTGGTTGTTTATATGATGTAGAAAAATCCGTCTGTTATTAGAGCTGGTGAGCCAGTACGTACAAAAATATGTACAGCGCATTATATACAATTTTTACAGCATTAACAAGAGGAAAACCTCCACAGCTAAGGTGAAACAGGGTCGTTGAATCGGTCTCATAAGTATGCCGCTTGTTCATAACCCCTGATGGAAAAAACGGGTTAAGATAGCTTGGCTTAAGATAGCAGGAACTATCACATTACATGGAGAACATGCGCGTAGAGCAGCCCTGAGCTTGGCACAATGTTTATGTAATTAACAGCTGACTGACAGTAGGCGAGACTCGAAAAGTGACTTGTACATTCCGATGAGCAACTTTGGAATTTCAGGATGACTCAGAAGCAATTGACTGTACAGAGTAGGAGCTGATATTCACGTCAAAAGTAATACTTTGGTAGCAAGCAGAAACTTTCTGCTCGGCTTTAACATTTACTTTAAAATTATTGGTTTTGGGTATAAAAAAATAAAAAAGGAATTTTATAACTATGGGAGGGTAGACAGTGACACTTTTTTTCCCTTTCAACCTCATTCTTTCCAGACATGGAGAAATACTTAATGCGACATTCATTGTTTATTTAGCTTATAAGGAATAATTAATTATGGAAACTTGTAATTAAAAACCACGAATATCCCCCTGTAATCTGAAGCCAGCAGTCCCAGAGCTTCTTGTGCAGAGTCCTGACGGGAACCGCTTTAATATTTTACTGCCATTGGTTAATCCACGATAGATGACTTCATCAGGTTCATTTCTGACTTTCCCGGGAAAGAACTGAAACTATATATCAGCCTGCACCACATTCCGTAAAAAAAAAAAAAAAAAAAAAAAACATTCAGGTCCGCATCGTTTTTGCATGCAGCATGCGTCAGCTCATCTGAAACGTTATCCTTACAACAAACCTAATAGCAAAAAGACTGATTAGGCCATTAAACTATATTTAAAAAACTCTTGCTGCGGTCTGGCCTGCATCCCTCTACAAGCACGTAACGTTCCTCTTTTTGTTTTGTGAATGCAAAAACGTTTTCTGTTTGAAAAAGTTGCTTCTGCTGAATGAATGCATGTAAATGAAAGATCCCTACTGAGCCACCCCTAGGCTTTTGTTTATGACATAATACCCTATTGTTATGTGATATGGCAGCGGGTTGTCTCATGGCATCTGTGGTGAACGGCAGTGACGCACGTAATTAGCAGCTACAGTATATCTACTTAACCCCTCGCTCTCTCCTTCTCTGCGACCAGATAACATCCAAAACTCCTTTATTGACCAAAAATGTTTTCATTTTAAGTTTTCAAGTTTTAAACACATACAATTGAACTAGTATTGCTACAAACAGACGCGTCGTTGTAAATTCATTCAGGTTTTTTATGGTAACTATCAACCGGTTGGATGATGTAATCGCTATAATCCAGTGCCTTTCTGATTCTCGGCAGAGCTCGCGACGAATTTATTTAAAGAGATAGTTCACCAACAAACGTCAACCTGTGTTACTTAAAACAAAGCTGAATGTCTTTAATTATTTGATGAGGCAGAATGACCATCATAATACATTCACTTTTATTGAACAGAAAAAATGATGATGCAATAAAGATTATGGTTATAATAACCATATTAGTACTAAATATTAGTATTATAATATTAGTACTAAAGATATCAGTCCCTAGCCTGGAGATTCAAAGGGTAACCTACATACATGAGAATTTTATATAAATATATTCCAGTCTTCATCTAAATAGGGAGACAGCTCGATAGATTAAAAAAATAGGCTACTAATGATGTAACGTTAAGTTACTTACCAAGATTTGAAAGTCTCTCCAACAAACCCGCATCCCGGATGGCTTTGGGCCCATGTTCCACCCCTCTCCTTTTCTGGAGAATGCAGTCACATTAATGTTATACATCAGTGCGTTTATGAGAGTTATCCTTAAATAAATATATTAATTATATATTACCTGTCCTTTGGAAAACGGAGCTCCTAAAATGGCAACAGAATGCGATCGGTTCTGCTGGCAGGAACTCAACGTGGATCTCAATAATCTGGTCAGTGGTCCTCTAGATGCCATACTGACTCAACCGGAGAGTTATGAAATTAAATTAAGGGAAACAAAAAACCCGCAACGGAAGGTTTGTCTCAAGAAAATAGTCTCTGGACCAGTGTGGCTTTTTAATCCTCTCTCTCGGAATTGGCTGTTGAGTCTCTAATAACTGCCACGACGTTTTTCTTTAAGTCTTCCACTTAAATCATATTCATGAGTTAATGAATAATGAAAGTTGGAGCTAAAGTTTAAAGTGAAATCTCACCCCCAAATATCCAACTGTCGTCCAGCATCCAACGTTTAAAATACAGCTTCGCTACACATCCGCTGATTCCGCTCGTTGCGGCGCGAACCACGTTTTTCTATTCATAGAGTGGCCAACGAACCTACGTCACACCCGACAACACACCTTCATCCCAGCCAATCAGAAAAGCGCCCCAGTGTGGGTTTGTTTTGATGGGCGTGGCTTGATCAAATGAGTGGCGTGAGAGATGGGGTGCGTTTTTTGTGGTGTTGGAAATTTCCATCTCTGCACTATCAACTGCATGTTTTTTTTTTTTTTGCTGGCCTACTGTCTCGTCAACAAATTCCCATCTTGCTCATTGAAAAACAGATCCAGTGTCCATAGCATGACTGCATGACTGAAGATTTATGTTCTATAGAAACGTCTGGAATACCAGTGTTAAGGGGAATCCAAGTTGTTGACAACATACATGACCATTTGGCCATCAGTGTGATATCAACCAAGAGCAAATGTACCAATGTTGACTCAAATACATGAACAAATACTGTTCATTTAGATAGTTGATTTATTGTTTGGTTAGTTGGTTAGCTCATGTCACTGATACTGTAAAAGGGAATGTATCAGTGGATGTAGTTCACATTCTCTGCACTTTGGCTCCATCTGGTGTTTTTTTAAGATACTGTATGTTTTAAACATGTCTCTACACTCCTATTATTAAAATCATATTGCAGAGTTCTGTGGCATTTAATATCATGTTGAATTCGACTGTGTTTATATCAGAATGCATTTGTGAGATATTATTGCTTCTTATAATAGTTGACTATTTCTGCATAAAAGAAAGTCCGCTGGACGTTTGATGGCGCTGTAACATTGATGTGATATTTTGCGCTGCATGTCAAAGCAGTTCCGGGATATTTTTCTCATTGGGCGGAATGTTATTAGTTTATTCAAATACACAAAAGCTGTTTTCCTCTAGAGGCGCTTGTGGGCTCAAAAAGTATCCCATAATGGTTGTATCCTACTGAGCGTATTATTCATCTAAAAATTATATTTAAATAAATTAATTAATTCCAACGATTTATATCTGACATAGTCTACTAATAAACATAATTTGTCTCGGAAAAAATAATAAATACCGTGGCCTTAATCTGGAATAATTCAACGCCAAAGCAGTCATCTTGCTCTTTCCGATGCATTCTTGGAATAATTAAAATTACACTCACAATCTTTAATAACAACTGAATTGAAAATTTCTAGTGAAGACTTAAAACATGATTATAATCATTTTAACTAACGATACCAGGTCACTAAGCCCCGCCCGTCTGCAACCCCAGTTTCATGCTAAATTGCCATTCCTGACGCTGACGGTATTTCTTTGTGTTTTCAATGGATGCTCGTTATTATCAGAGGAACGCATGACCAAATCAAAAGAGAAACATTAGTTATTTTTTTTGAACGAGTTGTACATCCATTCCTGTGGCAGATAGGAGGTCACGTTATTTCCAGCGGAGTAGATACTAAAACCGAATTTGGTGAGTCTTAATCAACAATATTGTTAATACAGAGCTTTTTTAAAATTTTATTTCCAGACGGCCTCCTAGTTTAATTATGATATAATGGAGTGTAGTGATTTTATTTTGCTCTCAAAATAAATGTGGATGAAATGGCTGTTGATGCAAATATTGTGTTTCTTCCGCACAATCTCTTGGGTGGAAAGGCAATTGGCTTTCATATGATGCAGGACTGAGATAAAATACATGCATTAGTTATCAAGGCAGTTTTGATATAGAATGTGCTTTGCATCTATGTTTACTACGTTACATGTATTGGTTTGTATTTATTTTAGAGTGAAATCCCAGTTAATATGACTTTGTATGTTCAAACACTTCTTTTCTCTGACAGATCAGTGTATCAGCAGAGATGTCATTCCCTCCTCACCTGAACCAAATATCCCAGTTACCCCCTGGCATTTCCCCCACACAGTTTTCTGGCTTTTCCACCACTGTGCCTACAGGTACGTCATGGAGTTGAGATATGTATATTCATATAGCCGTATGGAGTCCTTATGAATTTCTCAGTCTTTATTTATTTATTTATTCCCTCAGCAAGTCCAATAATGCCAGTCCCTGTAGGAATGATGACTCCATCTCCAGCGGTATGTACCGAGACTGCTGAAATGTTTGTTTTGGTTTACTGAGAACGAACATTTAGTCAAAATATCTGTTTTGAATATTAACCCTGTTACCAGGATGAGAGAACATGTTTTCTTATATTCTGTTGTATTGTGCTGTACTGTGTAACATCCTGTTAATTTATATTCAAGAAATGGGGTACTCTAATGACTAATTTACATGTTAATTTTATTTTGTTTATTTGTTTGTTATGATGAAAAAAGGAACGTACTGTTATTTCTTGTGCATTTGCATATTTCACACTTGAATGTATATTCCCAATAAATAAATCTTTTTAAAAAAAGACAGAAAAGAAATTTGGATGTTATCTTAATAATATAGACTATATAGTTCATGGGCTCTAATTACAGAGAGACCATAGGATCTCATGGTGCAGTATGCTTACATTTTCTAATGGTTTCAAATTCAGATGCATGGATCTGTGAGTGAGGTATAATCATTATGTGCTATAAATTGCTCGCTAATAATTGTTTCTTAAATGTCTCTCAGGTGTTCATTCAAACTGCAGTGCCAGTGGTTCAGAAGCTGACTCAGGAAGCCATTGCCACCCGTAACAAGGTCCCAGAGGAAGGTACAGGAACCAGCACAGGGCCGACCACTACAGTGTTTGTGGGAAACATCTCAGAAAAGGCCTCAGATATGTTGGTGCGGCAGTTGTTGGCGGTAAGTGTGGGGACTTTATTCACAAACTTTGTCTGCACAGTTATATTAAATATTTTAGACCCCTTTAAATGGTTCGTTCTCCCGAGAAATGAAGATTCTGTCATCATTTAGTCACCTTCATGCCATTCCAAACTCCTCTTTGAAACTCAAATGAAGATATCCCTCCGTTTAAAGCCCATTCACCCAAAACCTTAGATGCTTCAATAATTCATGAAGACATAAAAGCAATTCATAAGAAACAAGCTTTATATGATGAACAGATTTAATTTATGCTTTTATTCATATATACTGTAACCTTTGATCAGTGCACATAAATAGAGCACATCAAATATGGTGAATGGAAGCTCAATCGTGCTTGCTTGATGCACAAGCAAGCATCAAGCACGTACAGTAGAGCTTTACAATATTTGATGTGATCTGTGTATAATATGTGCATTGATCAAAAAATCTTAATTTGTGTTTCGAAGATGAATGAAAAACTTTGGAAAGGGATGACACGGGAAGGCAAATCATGACAAAGTTTTACATTTTTGGGTGAACTATCCCTTTAAGTTGATTGACACATCCATTACTTGACCTGATGTTCTTTGGAATTTCTGTCATGTAGCTGAGGATGTTTTCATAAGTCAGCTTTTCTCTACATATTTTTTGTCTTCTCTTCTGCAGAAATGTGGTTTGGTCCTCAGCTGGAAAAGAGTTCAGGGGGCTTCTGGAAAACTGCAAGGTATAAAGTAATACTATAATAACCCTCAGCATATAGCCTGTCAGTAGTTTAGTCCACCATTATCAAGAAACATCTTTTTGGGGAGCTCTAGCCATGCCATTTTTTACAGACTTGGTTATTTTTAAATGTACTGAATACATTTTCTGAAGAATTCTTTTGAAGAGTCTTCTGATCTGTATTTCTATCCTATAAAGCAATATTGCTAACGCTAGGTCACACCTTTAGCTATCGAAATTTGTGTCATCTGTATCACCTGATGTTGTGAACTTATTCAATTTTTACTTGTTTGTAGCATTTGGTTTCTGTGAGTACAAAGAGCCAGAGTCCACGCTAAGAGCTCTCCGACTGCTTCATGAGCTTCAAGTGGGTGATAAGAAGTTACTTGTGAAGGTGGATGCAAAGACCAAAGCTCAACTGGAAACCTGGAAGGCCAGTCAGAGAAGACGAAACGGGGTGAGATGTCCTCCTGGACTAACTGCTAAATTGATAAAATAACGCTAAATTAATACGATAATGCTAAGAAATGTGGTTCTAAAATACCAAATCAGCATATTAGAATGATTTCTGAAGAATCATGTGACACTGAAGAAGATTGACATAATGGCTGCTTTGCCATCAGGAATACATTTTATATATTTTATATATTTAAAGGTTCTATATGTAACTTTTTTATAAAATGAATCCTTTTTTTATTGCCTGTGTTTGAAGGGGTTGTAATCACACATTGCAATGATCCACTTTTCGGGTTTTGCTATTACCTCTGAAGGCCAATATTCATATTTATAAGTGAGGTCTCCGGGTCGAAATCCATCAGATGTGACGAGCATGCGCGCTCCCGAGCCTGTCTATCCAGTCAACCATGTCTCTATCCAGTCTCTATACAATCAACCATGCGACCAACGGCACTTCAGCTGACGACATGGAGTCTGATAACAGCCCAAATCGTCCTGCCTCCAGCACAACACAGACTCAAACACAAACTCCACATAAATATAAAAAACAAAAAAGTTTTATCTGCCCAAGCTCGTCAGGCAAAACGTGAATCTGATCGACTCCGGAAGAAAACGCGGATCAACATAGTAAACTCTAGTGAAATAGCAAGTTAAACTACATGAAACATGACATGAATACAAAAGAATGTTCCAGGATAACAAATAGTCGGTGCTTTAGGATGCAACTTATTTGATCTACTGACTAACGTCACTCATCCCACTACTACAATACTACTGTACATCACTCATCCCACTACTACTACAATCATATTGTTTATAATACACATTTCCAGACACGTTCAGTACAGTATTGTTACTTCCTACGATCTTACTGATGCACTGAAACTGTTCAGTTTAGTTCACTAACCGTGACTTCCCCCTGATTGCCTGCGAGCTTCTCCTCCTGTCTATACCGTAATTTCTTAATTGTGCGACGGAGAGTCGATTTGTTATGATGCAGTTGTTAGCCTATTTTTACAAAAAACTGCTTCTATGGGGCCATAATGTAAGATACAAGGTAATGGAGCCTTTTATACATTAT